AAATTCAATGAATTACTTTCTCTTTGCGAATGAGCCGTATTAGTATTGAGAGAATTTCTAACGTTTAGGAAATTGTTCCTGTTTCCATCATCAATTTTTGAAGACTTAATCCAATTAAAAAAAATATTTAAATGTTTAAGCTGAATATTGGCTTTTTGTTCATACTGAAACATTCTTACCCAGACTGTTATTGGAACGTCTTACAGCCTAGAAGAGCGCTCTTAGGCTGAACCAATACCAAACAGAAAGCTTCTGGCCGCGTTTAGGGGCCGATCCCACAATGAACAACGCTTTAACAAATGCCACACTTGAGCGTGCTTAGCCCAATCAGAGTCAGAATAAGAATTACTTCAGGGCTGGAGGTTTACCACCCAGTGAGTTCATCTTGGCGCCAAGCGCCTCGAGATCACGGCCATCGTCTTTTGCAATTGAATCTTTGAACACTGAAAATACGTTCCTCTGAAACGTAGGATAACTCTTACACGACTGCAGAAAATTGTACGCTAGAAGATAGAATTCACAGTGGTTTTGGTGTTTCCCCCTTGACGAGAGGGCGAGTCTGTCCATTGGCAGATGCCCTAGTCCATCTGAGCCATATAAGACACACATATGTTTACTTATATGAAGCGAAATAATTTCAGTTTCAAGTTGTAACACGCATACAATAAACACGATGTGTCCAGGATCCGTTAGGACTCATTTTTTTAAATTTTGCCCTCTAATTCCATCTGTTGGCGAGTTGTGGCGTTAAGATTCTTGACGTTTCAGCTGTGGCTGTTTATAATTTCAAAGCGCAAGCATCGCTGCATCATGTGTTCTGACCTTGGATGTAAAAGTACTGTTGTGACTCTCGTCGGAAAATGGCGGTTGAACAGAGAGCCAACATCAGATTTTGTTTGAAGTTAGGCAAAACAGCAGGAGAAGCGTACAACTTATGAAGAGTGTGTACGGTAGTGACTGTTTGAGTCGCTCGAATATTTTTCGATGGCATGCCGTATTTCGTGACGACAGGGAGGACATCGAAGGCGCTCCACGTGCATTAAAGCCGAGAACAAGTAGCACTGAAGCAAATGTGAAAAAAGTGACCGAAATCCTTGCATTAGACAGATGTGTTTCTGGAAGACTCATTGAGGAGCTTTTTGGAATACCAAAAAGTACTGTGCATCAAATTTTGACCGATGATTTGGGCAAACGGAAGGTCTGTGCGCGGTTTGTACCGCACTCTCTGTGAGGCGATGAAAAACATGCCAGAGTGGAAAACTGCAAAGACATGTTACGGTCGGCCCAAAGTGATACATAATTTACAAAATCGATTGTTACTGGTGACGAGACATGGTATTTTCAGTATGAGCCTCTCACAAAGCTGCAAAGTGTAGAATGCAGCGTGCAGCATGGTTAAGCCCAAAGAAGCCAGCCGAAACCAAAGAAAGTGCGCATGCAGAAGAGTCGAGTAAAGACATTGCTAACCGTTTTCCTCGATTCCAAAGGAATTTCTTTCAGAAGGTCAAACAGTGAAATCTGATTATTATCGCGGAGCCCTCAGCCGTTTGTGGGTGAGAATTCTTCGAATTCGACCTGAATATCGAGAGCAAGGTTCCTGGTCGCTCCCCCATGACAATGCCCCACCCCACAAATCGAAGATCGTGCGCGATTTTTTTGGCCAGAAAAGGGATCACAGACCTTGATCATCCTCCGTATTCGCCAGATTTGGCTCCAGTAGATTTCTGCTTGTTCCCAGAAGTTAAGTTGGCTATGAAAGGAGACCGTCACGACATCATCCGGGACATCCAAAGGGAATGTACCGCAGGTTTAAATGCGATTCCACAAAAGGAGTACAGTGACTATTTTCTAAAACTTCTGAATCAATTCCAGCTACGTATTGATTCAGAAGGAGGCTATTTTGAATAAAAAGAGTGAAATTTTGACAATAATTCACGTCTTGTATTTATAATGAACACAGTCCTCACAGAACCTGGACACACTGTGTATAGAAGGATTCCTTCAATCCAGTCTTTGTACAGCACATTATATATTAACTTGCTTCGGCAATTTTGTCGGGTCTTTAGCTTGACAAACAAGTTTCATGGTTTTGAACAACTCCTTGCTGCCGACGCAATTTTGTTATACAATCATAGAAACTTGTTGTTTGAAATCCTGACACCACCGAGAATAGCCAATAGTGCGGAGAGCCTTCGTGTGCAGGTGTCGCAATACCAAGAGACATGTGCCTGCAGCACGTTGCAGAAGTGAGTCATCATTTCTGTTTAATGTCTTTATTTACTCATGCGGATAACTGTTGAGTGTATTGAGTTGTCTCGCTACAGTATACATGATGTTTCACGATTTTAGGGCATAACTGCAGGAGGTGATTTCCTAGGTCTTTGTGATCAGAAACGTTCATATAAACATGTGTCCGATTTTGGACGGTTACTGAGTTATGACAGTTTTAAACTCAGAATAGAAGGTAACGATTACTGACAATAAACGGAACAAATAATAAACCAGCACAATACACGATACATTTAAAGTACGAATGTACAGTTAACTTCATGAAGTTACCTTTAATCTGATTTTATTGGTGCTTAAAGCTGATTTTCTAAAATGTCACCGCCGGCCGCAACACAGGCTGCCGCTCGGTTGTGAACCGCGCCGGTCATACGAACTCACCCCGCTCTCAAGTGTCGAGATAACGAGAACGCTCTGTCTGTAGCTGGCTAAAGATAGCGGCCCGCCAGATGACAGACGCGGTTCACACGAGGGCGTGTACGGGAATGAAAAAGCGGTCATAACTCAGTAACCGTCTAAAATCGGACACGTGTTCATATGAACTTCCTTGGTCACAAAGACCTAGGAAATCACCTCCTGCAGTTATGCCCTAAAGTTGTGAAACACTCTGTATACTCATGTCCACATGTTTTATGGTACACAGAGTGTCTACAAACTATACTCCATTCTTTTAGTTCAAAGCAGTTTAACTGACATTGCTACAATTACTAATATCACCATTACTGCACCAGCAATATTTCTCGTATGTCTTCACTTCCTTCGACCCATTTTCTAATCTTATGTTTCTATCCCTGGGAACCTTAAATGGGGAATGTGCCCCTTTAGCTTTGTTCTTCAATTTCTGCTCATCTTTGAATAAATACTTTCCGATGTCCCTAACTTTGATACAGTTGTACAGCATATTATTTCTGGCTCGTAAGGCTGACAGCCTCACCGCAATCCGTGAGCCGACTGTCTAGAAAATGTGGCAGCCGAGACGTCCCACAGCCCGATTGACCTCCACAGTCTGTTACAGGGATAGCTGTCTGTTTTTGCCTAAGTACTTTGTGGGCCTCTGTACATCTCATGGTGCTATGCTGGAGAGGGGCAGTGTTGCTAGACGGGATACTCGTATGAAGTGTATCTTTGAAGTCACAGGTTGTTGTGTTGCTGCAGTGAAGGCTTGAAAATAGGCTGATATGGTAGAATGTGTCTTACAAGGCCAGGAATGAGGCAAAGCATAATGTGTTTGCACAACCCTACTATTTGGATTTTTGTGACCTATCTGTAAGACTTTGCCCATGAAAACATAGAACTGCTCATATCAACCCTGCTTCTGTTCTCTCATCCCACCTTTCATAAATTCGTAAGCTCAAATGAGCCGGTCACGGTAGCCGAGCGGTCTAAGGCATGCACTGTCTTCGTTAGCTCGGAAGTCGGGTTCATGGGTTCGAATCCCATACAAGACATGTATGTTTGGAATGTGTATGTGTTTATTCTGTGTTTGAGTTGTCCTGTGCTTAGGTAGAGGCCTTGCAACGAGCTGCTCAGCCGCCCAAGGAGTCCTACCGTCTGTAAAATGATCAAGAAGCTGAGAAATTAGCCCTGTGCTTCACAGTTGGAGCAAGAGGAGAAACAACCCTCAAATGAAATTTTCATAACTGATAAATATGCGGGAAGACAACCACAGGCCTGTCTGCAATATGCGTGGACAATCTACGGCCCGCAAGAATCTTTGTTTATTTATTCGTGCTCATATAAGTACTTTTTAAATAATTTTATAAAGGCAAGCAATGAAATAGATTAGCGTAATTAGGGCACCTGATGATGGCACTATGTTGCCGAAACATGTCGTGAAGTAGCAGGTGAAATTGAGTGCACTACAAGACGGCAACTATATACATATCATGGAAGAAAATCAGTGCAACAGGACGCAAAAATAAAACATAACCTCATATAAGAACTTTGTGTCTTCATATCTCACCGTTTTCATATCGCGAAGGGTCATGGCCGTGACTCAGGTTCTGAGGTTCCGATAATGTACATGGAGCAGAACAGACTTGGCCTCTAGAAGACAGTTCTTGTTGTCTGTAGAAAAATGTCCAAACGCTTAAATGATTTCTTATTCTCTTTACTTCATTCTAAGACATCTCTCACAATGACTGTGCCTCCCCTCCTGGGAAACATCTACTTCGTCGTTTCCGTCATCATCCTCATTAATATGATCATCATCAACATCAAGTGCCAATGACCTAAATACTTCGATCCTGAAGATGGAGGCAGCGTTTCATCCGAATAGAGTGTTACGTGTTCCAGATGCTACGCGGCCACAACTCAGACGATGTAACTCACCTTAGCCACCGACATCCTGGTCTCATATCTCACGTTGTGAGTGTAATACTTTCTCCGTTTTTCTGTTGGTTTCATTGGAAGGTTTCCTCAACTTCCGTGACGTTACTTGTTATTTGTGAATATGTCTGAAAACCCCAACGTTATTGGAAGTAGAGTAACTATCAGCTATCAACCGTGAGCTCTCTGATTGCGTATTTTTCTCGTTTCGTTGCGCTGTATCTTCCTTTCTTACGCGTCTGGCAATTTTACGAGTTTCCCCCAGACAGAAAAGAAAGACATTCGACCTGCGATTGACTGACGAAACGTGAACCGATCAAACGTCACAAACCAGTAACAGAACCCCGTGAGAGGCCTTGCAGTATAAGTTGACGCTGGAGAAGTAACACGCCCCCTCTTACCTTGGTACGAGTCAGAAAGAACTTCCAGGCACTTGCTCGCTTCATTCCGTGTGGAGTGCCAGGCGTGGCATAATCTCTTCAGATTGCGGTGTTGCGTTGCCTTTCGCTTGTGTGAGTACTGAGTTATATTAGATAAGTATAGGAACTAATCCGGAGGTGATTTAGTAGGATTTGCTGTTCTCTCAGCTGTTGTTATGAAGAGTTCTGTCTTCTGGGATATAACACCGTGTAGTTCTTTGAAAATTAACCAATATTTCGGAGGAACAATTTGGTCCCATCTTCAGGTTCGAATAATATGCTAAACAGGAAACCAGAGTGAAGAAGGCAGCAATTTGCTTTGCTTATTGTTCGACACTGAAGACGGACGCAATATATTCTTCCGAAAAGTCTGGTTTCCATGAATTATTTTTGCCTCCTTGTGTAAAGATTAAAATACCTGCATGTATATTAAAACTGAAATTTGATCTGTTGTTTTATAAGAGCTTTTAACTTGTATCTGATATCTGGTGTGAGGGAACAGTGTGCCTAGGAGAATATTTGAGCCTAAGAGAGAGAAAGAATAGAAACTGGAGAAAACTGCGTAAAATGGGGCTTCATTATTTGTACTGTTCACGAAATGTTATTATTATAATAAAATCACGGAGGATGTGACGTTGATGCATGTAACACACAAGGCAAAATTAAAGCTGTGGGCCATTCACATTAGTGGTGACTAATCTGTAGTTAAGTTTGTTTAGCTTTCTGTAGTCATGGCGAAAGTGAAAGTAGGTCAGAAAACTAAATTACAGCTGTATCAGCAGGAGTTCAAAGGAGAGATAATAAGTACGGATAATAGAATTCTTTATTGCCGAGCGTGTGAGTAAACAGTTGGTTGTGATAAACGCTTTCAAGTGCTTCAGCATTTGAATACTAATTTACACAAAGAGAATATTAAAATTAAATTACGAAAAGTGATCCTGTTCAATAATTGCCTAGTGATTTTTCTAATAATAGCTTTTTACAGTTTTCCTTTGATTTGTGAGAAGCCTTTTTAGCGGCAGATATTCCGCTGTGGAAACTAACCAGTCCTACTCTGAGAATCATCATAGAGAAGTATACACAGTGCAAAGTGCCGGATGAATCTACTGTGCGCAAAAATTACGTAAAGCAGTGTTACGATCTTACAACTGAAAGTATTAGAGATAAGATTCAAGATTATTTTGTGTGGGTATCAATCGACGAAACAAAAGATTGTGAGGGAGGGTTTATTGCAAATTGTACAGTTGGATCCCTTAATAAGAATGCACAATCTACCCCATATCTTCTTGCGATAGAGCAATTTAAAACCACGAATAGCTCCGCAGTTTCCGAATTCTTTTTTATAAATTCCATGAATTTACTATGGCCGAATGGCATTCAGTATGAGCGCGAACTGCTCTTTGTGACTGATGCCGCAAGTTATATGATGAAAGCCGGTACTGCTCTTAAAGTTATATTTCCAAATATGACACATTTGACTTGCTTTGCCCATGGGTTGCACCGTGTTGCAGAAACAATTCGTGCAAATTTTAAGCTTGATGACCAGTTGGTGTCTTCTGTGAAGAAGGTATTTGTTAAAGCGCCACACAGAAAAGAAGCCTTTAATGCAGTAGCACCGAGCGTTCCACTTCCGCCAGAACCAATTATATCGCGCTGGGGCACGTGACTGTGTGCAGCGAGTTATTATACCGAACATTTAGAAACAGTTAGGAATGTCATGAATACATTTGATCCCAAAAGTGCAGCATCAATTCAAATTGCCCAAGATGTACTAAAAACGCAGAACTAGAAACTAATCTTTCCTATATATCTGCTCACTTCTCTCATCTTCCATCCGCCATTTCCTCACTGGAGGCAAGCAATAGCAATACGACTTTGTATCAGTCGTTAAGTGTGTTCAAAACCACTGTTTCCAAATTGATCTCGGTTCCTGGAAGAGTTGGTGAAGTAGTAAAGGAAAAAGTACACAGCATTCTTTAAAAAAAATCAGGATATGAACAAATTTGCGAAATTGATGAAATTTTAGCCGGTATACGTACTGAACTGCAAGAAAAAATCACTAACAGTGGAGCGAATAGCGGCTTTTGTACTTGCGCCCCTAAGTTCCTGTGAGGTGGAAAGAAGATTTTTCTCGCTATAACGACATCTTACGAGACAATAGGAGGCGACTAACTATGGAAAATCTAGAACATTTAGTAATTGTGAACTGCAACAGAAGAGATGTTGAAATTTTGGAGAGCTAAATGTGAGTAGCATTAGTTTTTTAATTTTGTAATGAAAAATGTTGGCTTTGTTGCATGATTTGTATTTAAGTATATCTTGTTATTGCAAGTCAATCATTCAGTGATTACATAAAATTAACTTAAACATTGATTTGTTGGTCTTAAAATGATGTAAAATCAATTTTAATATTTGGTATAAATTTTTATATACATATTTTAGTGCATATTTCCGAAGTCTTTCATGCATAAATGCATACATATTTAAGGGATTATTAGGGCATAAATATCCGGTCCCTACTTCTGACACTTCTAAGTAAGGTACACAAAAATACTGATATTGAGTTACTGTGTTAATATACGTACTGATAATTTGGCATTTATGTGTCTTTTTATATTATTAATAATTAAATTTAAAAGTGAAATTTTCGTGGTCCACTTAACAGTTTCCATGGCCCTTATTTCTCCGACTTTTGTCTGTGGTCCTCCGAAATTCGACATGGCCCCCTGGTGGACCTTCGACTCCCCGTTGAGAACCACTGCTCTAACTGACTAACTCGCTTCACTTCCCTCATCTGAACTACACTATCTGACTGCAGCCAAGTCCAAGTCACATTGCTACTGACGGTCAGTCAGCCAGTGAGTCTTGGTGTCAAGCCCTATCTGGGGCTAATGACCAGGTATTTATTTCCCTTTGACTGTTACAGACTTGTTCTTGTGGGTCGCCCTCTCTGACGAGAGCACGGGTATGTCTTTTGTATATGCCGCTGGCTCTTGCCAGCGCAGTCTTTCTCGGGCCCGAGTCCCTTGGGACTCGCGACCATAATTTACTGTCTCAAATTTGAGACTTACCTTTTCGTCGCCTCCTGTGACTCGTCTCCAAACGGGAGTCTCTGACTGCAGCCCCCAACTAGTCCAGCTCATAACATCTCAACACAGACCGCATAGAAAACAGCGCTCTTCATTGTTGTAGTTCAATCATTTCCGCGGGTACATGTATGCTTGAGAGGCCGTTACTCAGTAACGGCTTATGTTATTTGTTCATCTAGCGGGCTTTCCCACTACAATATTTATCGGAGATGTAGGTTCCGAACAAAGCTCCAGAGAAAATTAAACACACCCTGTATGTCCTTTACAGGTTTCCCTTAAATCTTATAATTTCGAGATGAAATCGGGGAGAAAGATAGAAGGAGCCGGGACCTAACTTGTGAGTACCTCAGTCCCTTCAGGCTAGTGCAGGGCAGCTAAATATCTCCTGAGAATTGAACAGTAGCTCAGCTGGTGAGGAAATTCCGCCTTTTTTGGTATCTCTCCACATAGATGCAGTCCATATATTCTCACACATTTCTCTGAGATCCGTTTTAATATCATATTCCTAAATACTGGTCTTTCATGGGTCTCTACCTATTAAACGAAGAAGCGTAACGAACCTCATGGAGACATCGGAAATAATTAAATGAAGTCCCTTATCTGTTGAGTAGTATTACGTTGATAGCAGCTACATGTGAACGCTTCCGACTAATCTCTTCGCGGCCAATTTGACGGTAGGCGGATGAGGCAAGTTACGAGTAGAGGGATCGGGGAAGTCCCATCCTGGGTATTGCATCAGAAACATGAATCATGACGAAATGTTGAGTCAAATATGCAACATATTGTAACGTGTTTCGTTACTGAAGACGCCGTANGTATCGGCATCTCGTATTCCGTATGCGAAGGCTTTTCCTGCCTACCTTCCTATGTGGTCAGCAGGTAGATTGGGGTAGGCACGAATACGGACAAGAAAAGTTGTATACGCACGACCATGATTAAAAATTTGAACATAAATTTAAAAATTATGTATGATAAATATTTTAAAAAGGAAATATGCAGTATAAATAGANAAGCTATACCAGTCTCCCTGAATCACACACTCCGAGTATAACTGTACTACAGCACTCACTATGTCTGGAAAGCACACGAAAAGTCTTCCGCTCGCTGACTTCTTAAGTATCGCACACTCGCAGGCTGCTNAATTCATACCTATATCCAAACGAGCATACTCTCTGGTTGCAAGGAAGAAATATGCATTTGCATTAAAATCCGGTCCCTANATGAGTGCCACGTCATCCTGTTACGTCACCGCTGTTAACTCGCCTTGCATAGTTACTAGGTTGCGGGGGCTCGGCTATCTTCGGCTCCCCCCGGCTCTCTTCGGCTCCGCTCGGCTCTCTTCGGCTCCGCTCGTGACGTCACCGCGCATAGCTGCCAGGATGCGGGGTGATTACTCGCCTATTACGCGAGCGTTTCGTTACCGCTACGTGCAGCTGGGGAGGTAGGGGTCAACATGTCACACTGCTCCCTCCTTAAGGCTGTACGTCCCGAATAGCCTAACGGTGCATCCCCGTCCCTTTTCCTCGGTGGCAGCATCTTCTTGCAGCATCTCCTGCAGCATTTTCTTTGTGTCCTTCTACTCTTTCTCTTCTCCCCGTTGCTCTGTTCTCCAACCGCCACATCTTCCCCTTTTTTATGGTTGCTCGTCTCGAGCAGCTCCATGATAAGGCGCAAGCCGGTCGAGGTGCACAACTAACATCCTCGAC